GCATTTTATTAGCAAATGTCGTTTTCCCGCCTACTGATTGTGACTTACAGTATATATCTTCTGCACAATAAAGTTGAGCTGGATTTCTGAATATAAACATTGGTATGATCAGCCAGTGAACTGTGATAATATAAAAAAATATTCATACACAAAATGACGCCTGTCACATGAAGATAAATGATTGTACAACAATCATCTCATATGAATGTATTGAATGGAATAGCATGTTATTATGTTGCTTAATGCCTATAGTAAAGATATATGTTTCTCAAGAGGTCATGCTCCAGTGCAAGCATACATATTAGTTCATGAAAAGATCATGTGAATAAAGAAAATATGCTCAAATATTTAAAACACAACTGTCACAGTCATTCTAAGAATTTTCAGAATGACTGACATCATTTTATTTCATGCTGAAAATTGCAGAAAAGTTCCATTTTTGCACAACGCCTGGTCCTTACCTAGATTTTTACATATCTCAAGAAGTGCCTTAGAAGTACACTATTCCCTTAGTACATATAACTTTCTAGGTAAGAACCGGGCGTTATATGAACAAAGCAAGTGTTTATCATGACCTTCCTCTCTCTAAAAATAAGTAGGTCAACACAATTGCAAACATTACTAATCCCTCCTCAATTACTATTGAAATATGAATATTTATATGTACAAAATATCAATCCAATGAGTGTATAGAGTGACACAATCAAACAATGGGACATCTCCCAAGTTGGGTTTATACATTCTGGAGACATTTTCTGAGACTGATAAAAAATCACATTTTCACAGGAAGTGATACATACCTCCCAAATCAACCAAAATATACTTATATCAGTCATCTTGAATGCTTTTTATTGCTATTTCTTGAAAATATACATATTTATCTATAAATTGATCCTACATATCAAGGATATTAACGACATTGCATTTTTCAAAAAATGTTAAGTGACCCCAGGGGTGTCTATAGCCATTCGTTCTATAGTATGGTTTTATCTTAGAAGCAAAGGGTAACGGTTAAAAAAAGAAAATGGAATTTCATTGTTTCACAAAAAACGTTGTAGAAACGAACGTTTTGATAATTCAAATAAAATATTAAATCCACCTCATTGTAAAAAAATGTATCTAAATTCTATGATGATCACTTACAGAATAAAAAAAGTTAGAAACTTCTAAAAAGCTCTCCTTATCAATCAATCACACACCCTGTGATAATAGGACCTTGTCCATTCACTTTCAAAATTTAACTAATTGAAAGACTTAATCAATTTAATTAAATAAGGCGAAAGGAATACATTATATTAAAATACCTTAAATCTGTATATAAAAGAGTGAAAATGAATAAATATTTTGCTTTTCAACATTATTTATAATGTATGATGTTATAAAGTAGGCCATGTCATAGTAAAAGGGGTACTCTTGGAATGATTAATGGAGTCTAATATAAATGTATCCTCCAAAACAGATGTATTGGAGAATTCATGATTATTAGACACCCTTTTCTGGAAAAAACATACTGTACGCCCGGTATTATTCGCGAGCTTTAATTTCGCGAATTTTGCGAAAACACGGTTTCGCGGCTATTAAATTTCGCGAATTTCACAAGTTTGAAATTCATTATTCTCGGAATTCTCAAGCTAAATTACTAGTAGATGTACAGTTATTGCACTTACCTGATGTCATAGTTGGATCAGAGTTACAATAACTGGGATCTTTATCATCGGCAAGCTGCATATCAACTTCTATTATCGCATCGTTAATTTCGGTCTTATTTTAAAACGAAAAAGCAGTTTGAATTCGTATTTTGTATTACTAGTAGTTATTCGAATTTTGTACTCAAAACATCAAGAATTCCCGGGGATTTAATTGGCAATTTTGCGATGATAATTTTTCGCGATTTTGACACCATCGCGAAAAGCGCGAAAGTTAATCGCACGCAAATAATACCGGGCGTACAGTATTAAATGAAGCCATAAACTTTGTCCTATAGTTAGGACATCGGAGAAGAACTGTACATGTAAAATTGTATGAACGTATCTTGCCCATTTCCTAAGTTATCGCTTTTGACTATAGGGGTCGGTCAGAATAATTTGTGGCTGATTATTTCAAACGATAACGTTGATTCTATTTACATTTTTATTTTTATAATTCAATACTAATATCCAAGGAAACATGTTTATTGTTTGTTTGACAAACACAAATGTGATAAGGAATATCTTATTTGAAATTAAACAAGACTTATTGAACGATTAACAAAAATGTGTTAATTTTATATTCCTTTGAAAATTCCTCAGGTTACGAAATGCCAATATAGTTCCAATGATGCCGCTTACGAATTCAGAAGATACAATTGTATTTCCTCTACAATGCAAGAAAAAACCATCGTCATATGAATATTATAATTTTCGAATTTTGTATTTTTTGAAATATCAATTATCGTAAATTAGCCCATATACCCTACTACCTTTGATAGTCCCCGCAAGAAATAGTTACATGCGAGCAGACACATCAGGTGAGTACGTTGGGTATGACACGCAGGTCAGGGTGTTGGATAATTTCAGTGCATGTGTGCAAGTAGTATTGGGGCAAAGTGATTGATGAACAAATAAATGAATAAGAGTAAATAGTGTGCAGTCATTTTTTGACAACCCTGTATATGTGGCATACCTGGTGTAGGCCTAACCTGTAGGCTCCGATTTTCACTACGGCGCCCGGCCGATGAGCAGATCCAAAAATGAATGGGAGTACTTGTGCAAAATATAGGGGAGAATAATAAAAGAACTGGCGATATATCGAGGCTTTTGGTTGAAATCTCTGAAGATTTGCATCTTCTCACATCTGGGGACCAAAACGCTGCTAAAACGAGTGACTCTGTACACAAAAGCAATGTCTTGACTGAAAGGTATTTATGTGGGGGTTTTAATGAAACAAGTTTGAAGAAAAACGGTATATTATGAGCCTCCAATCATTGATTTTCCAAAGAAAGGGTAGGTTTGAAATTCAAATTAACGGTTTTGCGGGGCGTTCTGGTTTCGATACGCCCTGGTGAGTTAGTACCGCGTGTGTACGGTCGGTTGGAAAATGTTGATTTTCCACATTCCCTTTGTTCATTTCATCCTCTGTCGTCCTAGAGTGTCGAACATTTTTATGAGAATATGTTTCTCTAAACTACACAATTTAGGACAGAATAAATATTCGTGTATTTGTTGTAATTTTGAAAAAATCAGAGATGAATGTTGTCAACTTCACTGTACGTTGTCCTTGTAATTGAAATGCATGAGATTAAACAATGCAATGATTTAATTATATTTTACAAGCATGTTCAAGTATCCTTTGTCAGATGATGTTAAAGATAGGGTAAATTACTTTTTTGAATGCTTTTTCATTTTATGAAAGTGTCGTTGTGGTGGTGGTTAATATGTGGCCATGGGGTGTTAGAAGATTGGGTGTTAGCTCCCAGACTCCTTGATTATTCGGCGTCTGTACCTTGTACGTTTTGTTAAGTTACACTGATAGAGAGATCTATACTAGCTTGTCGAAGATGATTTCTTAAAATCCCGTTTATGATATATCTAGAAAGTGCTAAATAGTTTCAATAGTTCAATCAAATTAACAAATTGAAATAATACTGTTATTGTTCGGTTTCAATTTTAAATGCATCTGAATCCCTCTGGCGGATTCAGGGGCAATGAGCTCCTCCTCTTGGGTGGGCCCAGTGAATTGAGTGAGTTGAATGGGACAACGTATTCTAGTTGACAACCTACACTTATGATTTTTTATATTATAGCCAAAACGTTAATTTTTATTAAATCTTCAACCGACCTTATTGTGTAGAGAAACATATTCTCCTAAAAATATTCGACACTCTTAAACGACAGGGGAGGAAATGATCAATGGAAATGTGTAAAAATATTAAAACATTTTCCAATCGACCAATTTTATGGGTAGATTTAACCACGAACAAATCGAGCACACATGAAATCAAACATAAATGCTTAGCCTAGTATTCCCCAGATAATTCTTTAAAACCTATATCGTAGTTTTTGATTCAAATCGCTAAGTTTGCTGGTTTACTTCAATATTTAACAACGCGCGTCTAAAGTGTACGACACTATATTTGTCAATGTACGAGGGTTGCCCCAGAAGTAATGCACTATATGCTCTAACTTTCTTTAATATGCTTCAATTCAGCTGAAATGTGGTATATATTGCAAGTGAAGCGTTATCTGTTATATTCTGACGTTTCAGCATTTAACGTTGATGTTATGTCTTAATATAGTTGCTATAGCAACACAGGGTTAGGGATGGATGGGGCATTTACCAATTTTTCTACTCATGAAAAGCACTAAAGTGTTATTCTATTTACATTTTTTGCATATAAATCATGACATTTAAAATAGCATTTAGATGTCATTATGCCACAGTTCAATAGTCACAAATTCAAGTTTAGTCACAGTTAATAAATTGCAAAAATGGCTGCAATTCTAAAACACGATAAGAAGGCCTTGCGTTCCGTTGCCCAATTTCATACTTCACTTGGAGTTCACAGCTACACACACTTTTGCTCTTATGAAGAAAGTATATAAGGAGTGATAGCAAATGCTACAAATTGAGGTGGCAGAACAGAAAATGATGACTGGACCTCGGATAACAAAAAGCTTATACAAGATGGTATTTGTTGATTAATTATTTCATATTTTCAATTTTTTATTTGTTTTGACGTGACAAAAAGAACTGCCCAGTGCCCACCCTACCGAAACTCACTAACTTGATTCTGTTATAACATCAATTTACTTTTATCAATAGACTTGAAACTTTATACAATCAAAATATCTTCAAAGATCACTGAAAATTTCATGGAAAAATATTGAGTGTTGATAAAGTAAGAGTAAATAGAGCATTACTTGTGGGACAACCCTCGTACAATACCGGCGCCGTCGATGGTTAGGCGTGTGTTTATCGATTGCTCGATTAGCTCATTGATCGCGTAGTCTTACATATTTACTGAGCGACCAACATGGCGGATTAAGTTTTTTGAAAAGAAAAATAATTTCCAAGAAAAACACACATTAGGAGTTGTTGAGTATTATGACGAAGAAGAATGAATAATATGGATGAAGTAAAATTGGAGCCCATTTTGACGAGACCCCGTCGACAAATGAGTGATTCTAAGCAGAAAAAATGGAACAAAAGTGGGCGTGGTAAAATTGAGCATCCACAACTTGTGAAAGCTGCATTGCCAAGAAAGAAAACGTCCATTGTGACGGTTGATACGTCAAAAGCAAAATCTAATCTGGATGTTGTTAGATCTTGCCTTCGTGAACTCGGATGGAGAGAGGTAGGTTAAGGTACAGCTGGAAAATAACATTATGGGGAAAAAATTGCTATAGACCTACAGTGGGGGACATAAAGAATTACAAAACCTATGGAAATTACATGTTGTCGCATATGTAATAAATTCTTACCTCAGTGTATTCAGTGCTCTTTTTTCTCCGTCATAGTAAGTCCAGATATAGTGGAATTTGTGTCCATAATGACAAATAAGAACTTAAAAATTTGATGTGGAATTCACATGTTAATGCCGACTCTTCAAATGTTGAGGTGATTTTGGAGCCAGATTACGCCGCAATGTGGGTTGGCTCCCAGAATGCAACATGACACGTGTCGGCTTTCAAAATGCCATTCCGCCGTTTTGAAATACGTCACGAATAAATAAGGTTACTTGATGTTGCATTCTGGGAGTCAATCCTCCTTGGATCACAACATGGGCATTCAACTAGATGGCGATTCATGAAAACATTAGTCCGATTTGGTAGGGATTTATCCATCATTTGCAGGTATGAGGCTTTGGATTCATTTATTGTGCTACTTAAAGTGGATGGGAATTATTTTTCTACCACTTGGGAGAGTTTGAGACATGAAACTTAGAATTTAGCTCATTGTGACAACTTTTGAGGGTTGAGATTTATTTTTGTCCCCCACTTTACAGTACATGTACATGTACAGTAGACTACTTGTATCTGCACATGTTATTTTCTGGTACAAAATAAGTATGAAGGCATGTGTGTAATTCCTTCCTTTTTTCAGGAAAGTATCATTACATTGTCTACTTTTAGTAAACCTGGAAACAGGTCAGTCAGGAAACTTCAAAATAAAATTTGTAGAAATAGAAAGCGTAAAATATTAGAATTTCCGAGACCCTATCTGTTGCAAGACTTAAATGTATGCCTGGCACAACCGTCACCATGTTATTACAGTGATTTTAAGTTTCGCAAGGATCCTGCCATAACCATGGTAGTATTATCATGATAGCCTGGTATAACCATGACAATGCTATATTATAGTGCATGGTCTGTCATGACCGTAGTAATGTTAAAGCCTGATATAACAATGCTATACTATATTGCAAGGCCTGTTATGACCGTGGTAATGTTAAAGCACAATATGACCGTGACATTGGTTATAGTAACATTAAATAGCATGAGAATACTGTAATACTGTAATGAAAAGTATTATCGTTTATCTACCTTAAATATGTACATGTAAATCTAGACTACTACTACTACATGTACTAACTTAACTCATAATTCATTTCCACATACTATAATCTCATTCAAGAACGTGAACATTGTCATGGTCATATCAGGCTTTAACATTACCACAGTCATGACAGGCCTTAATTACAACCATTGCCACAGTCATATAAGGCTCTAACATTACCACGGTCATGAAAGGCCTTGCAATATAATATAATATAGCATTGTCACGGTTATACCAGGCTTTCACGATAACAATACCACGGTCATGGCAGAATCCTTGTGAAACTTAAAAACACTGAATAACATTGTCACGGTTGTGCCAGGCATAATAGTAATAGATAGATAGATGCAATAGATAGCATGTGGAATTTCCTGGAGTTCGCATTGAACTCTTACCAGATTTACTAAAAGAAGACAATGTAATAATACTTTCCTGAAAAAAGCAAGGAAATTAACACATGCCTTCATACTTTATTTTGTACCAGAAAATAACATGTACAGGTATAGCATATTTTTTTCCCAAAATGTTAATTTCCAGCTGAACCTTAGGCTCAGAGCCCGGGAGTTCACTGTATATAAACCTTGACGGGGATCCTTGGCTCAGGTGGGGTACCTTTTTTGACATTTGGCATGGCATTGGACCCAAATTTTAGGATCTGGTACATGTATGAGAATGTACCCCAATTATGACTTTTGAGGTATGACAATGTGGGGACAATGTTCAGGTTTTTCCACTTTCTGGTAGCCTATGATAATGGTCGTGGAAAATATTGTATCCCTCACTTGTGGTATGGAATTGGTCTAGTAGTTACAGATATCCTTAATTTGAGGTTGTTTTGGATCATTTTCCTTAAAAATCTGCCTCCTTCTGGGGTCATTAGACATTTTGAATGGGTTTGGTCTTTTATCTGGATATTTGGTATGGCAGTGGTCCTATATTTGGGCATTTGGTATGGTATTGGTCTTATATTTGAACATTTGGTATGAGTTTTATTATGTCACCACCAAAAGTGGTGACATATTGTTATGGTCTCCGTTTTTTTTATGTCACCACCAAAAGTGGTGACATATTGTTATGGTCTCCGTTTTTTTTCCGACGGCGGTTGGTGGTTGGAGGTTGGAGGTTGGCGTCCGGCGTCCGGCAACTTCCTATAACTTAACAAATACTGTTTAGACTGACTTCAATTTTTTTCTAAATCATCTACATGTTCTCAGAAGTTCAAATCTGACTTTAGATTTGACATTTGACCTTCAATGACCTTCTCAAGGTCAAAAAGGTCTTTTTTCAACTTGCTTCACATTGACTAATTTTTTTTTCAAAATCATCTACATGTTCTCAGAAATTCAAATCTGACTTTAGATTTGACTTTAGATTTGACATTTGACCTTCAAATCTGACTTTAAATTTGACATTTGACCTTCAATGACCTTCTCAAGGTCAAAAAAGGTCAAAAAGGTCTGTTTTCAACTTGCTTCAAATTGACTAAAAATTTTTTTCAAAATCATCTACATGTTCTCAGAAATTCAAATCTGACTTTAGATTTGACATTTGACCTTCAATGACCTTCTCAAGGTCAAAAAAGGTCTGTTTTCAACTTGCTTCAAATTGACTAAAAAAAATTTCAAAATCGTCTACATGTTCTCAGAAATTCAAATCCGACTTTAGATTTGACATTTGACCTTCAATGACCTTCTCAATGTCAAAAAAGGTCAAAAAGGTATTTTTTCATCTTGCTTCAAATTGACTAAATTTTTTTTTCAAAATCATCTACATGTTCTCAGAAATTCAAATATGACTTAAGATTTGACTTAGATTTGACATTTGACCTTCAATGACCTTCTCAAGGTCAAAAAAGGTCAAAAAGGTCTTTTTTCAACTTGCTTCAAATTGACTAATTTTTTTTTTCAAAATCATCTACATGTTCTCAGAAATTCAAATCTGACTTTAGATTTGACATTTGACCTTTAATGACCTTCTCAAGGTCAAAAAGGTCTGTTTTCAACTTGCTTCAAATTGACCAAATTTTTTTTTCAAAATCATCTACATCTTTTCAGAAGTTCAAATTTGACTTTACAAGTTCTCAGAAGTTCAAATCTGACTCTAGATTTGACCTTTGACCTTCAATGACCTTCTCAAGGTCAAAAAGGTCTTTTTTCAACTTGCTTCAAATTGACTAAAAAATCTTTTCAAAATCATCTACGTGTTCTCAGAAGTTCAAATCTGACTTTAGATTTGACTTAAGATTTGACATTTGACCTTCAATGACCTAACTAGGTGGTGACATTTTGTCATGTTAATGCCTTGTTTTAGTTGGTATGGGAACACATTGAAATTTGACAGATTGGTATGGGAGCATATTATATCTGGGGGTTCAGCCTAGGACCCGCGATGAAATTTATATACAGTGAACCCCCAACAAAAGAAACATATACTTGTACAATTAAACTTCGTCTTGCATTTGAGACAACATGTACTTATTTGAAATTAGAAAGAAACTTTTTCTCTATACTAACATGCAAGATAATAAGGTACTGTACATGTACTAATCTACAATTTTATTTGCAGTATCCATTTGGTCGCCGTGATTTTCCATGTGATATCTACTGGAACACTGCAACCTATCAAGACAGTGGAGATGTGTGTTCGGGTAAAGTTAATAAGTTTCCAGGTAAAGAACATTGTTAAACCCAATATATACCAATGGGGCACGGTGAGACCTCCACAGACTTAGCATTGCATGAGACACCATGGGGCAAAGTCACTGAGGTCCATGGGGCAAGGTTGGACTTCATGGGGCAAGTGGGATTTTGCTCGATGTATGTTGGGCTTCATAGACCAAGCCTTGAAGCTAAATAGATAAACTTTTTAGAAATGCAGTGTTTGATCCCGCAACTTCTTTAATTTCTGAAATCCTAGACTCACAGTATTAAACTTCATTGGTTCAGTTTGTGGTAGTGGATGTATAGTACATTTGTACTGATAAATATTGAAATTTATTTTGATTTCATTTACTTCCAGGTATGTCTGAGTTGTTGAATAAGATTAATCTGACAAGGGCTTTAGATTTACTTACTCAACTTGTCCCTGAGGAATTTGACTTTTATCCAGAGACTTGGTTTTTACCACAGCAATACTTTCAGTTTAGTGCAACAGTGAAATCCAGAATGGAAAAAGATCCTAAATATAGTCCAACATTTATTGTTAAACCTGATGAAGGATCTCAGGGGGAGGGAATCTACTTGATTAAAGATCCTGTTGACTATGTTATGAATCAACGGAATCATGTCGTCCAGGAATATTTATCAAAACCCCTGTTGATTGAACGAATGAAATTTGATCTACGGGTGTATGTAGTATTAGCATCAATTGAACCTTTGGAAATATATATCTGCAAAGATGGATTGGCACGATTTTGCACTGTACCATACTCAAAACCAACTTGGAAGAATCTCGATGAACATTACATGCATCTTACAAATTATTCACTCAATAAACACAGCTCAACTTATGTACATACAGACAGTGAGGACAATGGGAGTAAAAGATCTTTAACGAGTGTATTAAGACAATTGGAAGACTCAGGATATAACGTAACACATCTCTGTACAGAAATTGAGAGGCTTATTATTAAGACTACACTCGCTATTGCTCCTGAGTTGAAGATACATTACCGTGCTGCTGTACCCATTGGAAAAGCAGGGCCTACATGTTTTCAGGTATGTGAGCTAGTTAACCAAGCAGTTGAGGGATTTTGTAAAGTTTGTTGTTCAATATTTAGTGCAATATAAAGAGAAATGACTTAAAAAAAAAAGCTGAACATTTTGTTCTTATATGGTAGGGAACATGGACAATAATGTTTACTGTACAATGTGTCCATAAAGTCTCTTTACAATTACAATAAAAAATAGCGTCAAAAATGCAAATGATAAACATCAAAAATCTCTGACAGAATAGGTATTTGTATTTTGTTTTTCAATAGTATAACATGAATTATGTAATGAAAAATGAATAATGACATCATATTTCTGGCATTAAGTTCCCCCTCCCCCACGAATTATGTATTCCATAATTAATAACAACATCATATTTCTGGCATTAAGTTCCCCCCTCCCCCACGGATTATGTATTCCATAATGAATAATGACATCATATTTCTGGCATTAAGTGCCCCCCTCTACCACAAATTATGTATTTCACAATGGCATCATATTTTTGGCATTAAGTTCCCGCCTCCCCCATGAATTATGTATTTCATAATGAATAATGACATCATATTTCTGACATTAAGCCCCCCCCCCCTCCCCCCCATGAATTATGTATTTCATAAGAAATAATGACATCATATTTCTGACATTAAGTTGCTCCCACGAATTATGTATTTCATGATGAATAATGACATCATATTTCTGGCATTAAGTTCCCCCTCCCCCCACGAATTATGTATTTCATAATGAATAATGACATCATATTTCTGGCATTAAGCCCCCCCCCCTCCCCCCATGAATTATGTATTTCATAATGAATAATGACATCATATTTCTGGCATTAAGTTTCCCCCTCCTCCCACGAATTATGTATTTCATAATGAATCATATTTCTGGCATTAAGTTCACCCTCCCCCCACAAATTATGTATTTCATAAGGAATAATGACATCATATTTCTGCTCAACCCCCCTTACCCCACCTTAATCCATTCCCTCAGTTCAAAGACAAATAACTAAATGCTGTATTCCAGATCTTGGGCTTTGATATCCTACTGTTAGAAGACCTTAAACCAATCTTACTTGAGGTGAACTCTGGTCCAAGTCTACGCATTGATTACGAGCAAGAAGTGGCCAGCGGTGTTTATGAGCGTGTTATCAGTGCAATTGATGATGAGATCAAACATCCATTAGTCCGTGACACACTCTTGCTTATTGCTCCTAAAAATAAATTAAAGAAAAGGTAGGTACAGTGTAGTAATACCTGTAAAGTGGAACACATCTGGAAGAAGAACATCTCCATAAAAAAAGTAATAAAATCTCCATAAGTAGTGTACTTCAAAGTCATCTTAACAATTAACTAATGTAAAGTTAAAGGCAGAATCATATCTATAGGGGTTGAACAATTTCACATTATTCCTGTCCCCATTCTCATGTTTAGTATTCCCAGATTACATCCAGTATTGAGAATAGATGGTGCTCACTTCACAGAAACATGTATAACTGTACATGTGAGCTAATCAAACTAAAGTAATGTACATATGTGGCATATACTACTATTATCTATAGTATACAGTGAAACCTGTTAAGTGGAACACCTGTTTATGGAACACTTTACTGAGTCCCAAGACCAACTGACTTGACCAACTGACTTAATATTTAATGAGCCTTTATAAGTGGAACACCTACCAAGTGGAACAATTTTTAGAGATATCATAGGTCTTCCGCTGAGATAGGTTTTACTGTAATCTAAAAGGGAAACAATGCATGGTCAGAAGACTCATATTCTATTCAGTTAACTTTCTAGATAAGAATTGCATTGCTTCATCATCTCTCTTTGTAACATGTTTAGATTCCCAGCACCACCAATAATTTATTTGCTTTATTACAAGTCAAATTAGTCAAAGTATTGTGTAACTTGTACACTCCCCTCCCTAAGTAAAGACTGCATACACTCCCGTCCCTAAGTAAAGACTGCATTCACTCCCCTCCCTAAGTAAAGACTGCATACACTCCCCTTCTTAAGTAAAGACTACATACACTCCCCTCCCTAAGTAAAGACTGAATACACTCCCCTTCCTAAGTAAAGACTACATACACTCTCCTTCCTAAGTAAAGACTACATTCACTCCCCTCCCTATGTAAAGACTGCATACACTCCCCTTCCTAAGTAAAGACTACATACACTCCACTCCCTAAGTAAAGACTGAATACACTCCCCTTCCTAAGTAAAGACTACATACACTCCCCTCCCTAAGTAAAGACTACATACACTCCCCTCCCTAAGTAAAGACTGAATACACTCCCCTTCCTAAGTAAAGACTGAATACACTCCCCTTCCTAAGTAAAGACTACATACACTCTCCTTCCTAAGTAAAGACTACATTCACTCCCCTCCCTATGTAAAGACTGCATACACTCCCCTTCCTAAGTAAAGACTACATACACTCCACTCCCTAAGTAAAGACTGAATACACTCCCCTTCCTAAGTAAAGACTACATACACTCCCCTCCCTAAGTAAAGACTACATACACTCCCCTCCCTAAGTAAAGACTGAATACACTCCCCTTTATATGTTTGGCAACAGGAAATCCCATTTGGCTCATTTGGATAGTGTGTTTTGGTTTAAACCTTAATTTTGTTCCTAAGTTCAACCTTCAAAGCAGGTGTCCAGAGGGGTCATTCATCAAGCTATCGCAAGCACATCGCAAGCCTGCGATGTCGCAAGGGCCCTTTTAAGCGATTACGTCCTATTCATCAATATCGTGCGACTACGATCGGTAGAATTTTCTGCGACGTCGCAGTGAAATACCCCTAAAATGGCCCAAATTTAAGCGACCGGTGGTACCCAGTCGCAGTGATTTAAGTTCAAGAAAAATGTCTTAAATTAATTGAATTTCTTTATGAAATTATACGGAAATTCTAGGACGTACAGTTAGATATTCGATCCATGATATATTAAAATTGCACAACATATGCATTATGTTTAACATGTTTGTGATGCTATCAAAAACAGCTAGTTTTTGGCTTGTATTTTTAAGTATTTCACCGTGCGACCGGTCGCAGTGATTGTGCGTTACACGTGGTTTGAACCCACGTGACTGTACCCACTCAGTATCCATCAATATCACATTGTCAATCTTGCATGACGTGTTTAATACTCTATTAGCAGCGTTTATTCATTCAAAATGGCGCAACTGGTGGTTGATTTCCACCGCAACACTTTACCTAGAGAATGCGTATTTAGAGATCGTACAGATCCTCTTCAAATATACGATGATGTGGACCTTATTTTGCGATATCGCATGCCTAGGTTAACCATTATAAAACTTTACGAAATGATACAAGAGGATCTCGAAAGGATAACAAACACGTGTACAAGCACGTACACGTGCTAATCACTGCGACTGGTCGCAGGGACATCGCAGACTGCGATTTGTTAATGAATAGGTCGCAGTCGCAGTCACTGCGACGTCGCACGTCGCAGTGATTGCGATAGCTTGATGAATGACCCCTCTGAATCCCTACCTCCTTCTTAGAAAGAAGATATTATGGGTCATGGAGCTCTGCGTTCGAAGGATGTCCTAAGTAACAAATTAACCTCTTGAATCCCAGGCTCTAAAATCGGTTGAAACCAGAGATTTATTTCATTTTTGCCACCTTTTGACATTTTACTACATACATATACAACTTAAGATGCTCAAATTAGTAAAATTAGATGGCAGAGATCATTTCTACACGTTTTAAAACAATTTTTGTGTAAATTGGATGAAAATTATTCAAATGAGAGCAATTTTTGTGAAAAACTTTGTGACGGATTTTCTCGTCCTTCTGGGTTTCAAGGTCATTTCTGAGGTGACGAGAAATCTCGTCATTCTGGGTAGTCAAGAGGTTAAGTTGGAAATTACCGGTTGTTATTTGTTTTAAAATTGCCAAACATATTAACAGGACTTATCATGTACATGTAATCCATAAGAGGACTTCTTGTTGCCAAACATTGTTGAGCAGAATAAGCTTACCTTATAACATATTTCCACTATAGGGTGAAGAGGGACGCAAACTCCATTGAAACTTTAGAATCTCCTATTGAAGATGATCAAGAAATCCAGAAATATCCTGAAGAGTCATGTTTGGAACAGATCTTCCCTGCCAAATACGGGCCGGAATACAACTGGTTACGGATTCTAGAGCGCGTTTCAGCAATTTATCAACTCTGCTTGGGAGTTAAAGGCACAGTCAGCTGTAAAATGGGGCTCACTGGATTTAGGGCTTTCACCAGGTATTGTTTCTTGTACACACATTCTACTCACAATCAGATGTGCAACATTACTTATAAAACAATGGCACTCCTATGTTCTTGACAGTGTTGGTACTGTCACAAAAAGGAAGCAGGCGAAATGCTTGAAACAGGGGGCGAAAAGGCCAAAATTATTGTAATGGTTGAAATGAATAAGAATCTGAAAGCAGCTTAGGCAATTTGATTGAAATGCTTGAAACAGGCGCAAGCAGCGAAACAGTAATTTCATTTTTCAAAATATATTGATTGAAAAGATTGAAACAGTTGAAAAGCCCTTGCGAAATGCTTGAAAAGAAAAACGTGCATGTTTTTTTTTCTTTTCAATCATTACAGCCAATTCTTCATGAATTGGTCTTATGATTGAAATGCTTATAATGGCGAAACAGGCGCAAACTTTTAATCAAATTCAAAAGCAAATCAATTGAAATGCTCGAAATGACGCAAGCATTGAAAAGTAGGAAATAATGCAAGAATTGAAATGATTGAACTGATTGAAACAATATTGAAATAATTGAAATGATTGAAACGCTATTTACAGTGTATACAAGGCTTAAGAAATGTACAGATGCATCATATCAGTTAAAATGTATACATTAAAGTTAAGATGTCATGATGCCTATAAAAAACATTGTAAGAACATCATGAAAGAGTAGGCTGAGTTCAAATAGTAGATTGCACCTCGAATTAATTCATAGGCTGAGGGCGATAGAAATAATTTTTGAATAAAGATGGCATGGTAATCTATCTATGTTTCTTTATAATTCTCTTAAAGAAAAAGATAGATCGGATTCTGCAGCCAGTCACATAGAAAGGGGGGAGGGCTCGGGTGTTTAAGCTAACCCCCTCCTAGCCTAAAATTTTTTCAAACTTGTGCAGTTTTTCGTTTTTCACCCATTCTGAGCACTTGATTTTTGCCATTTTTGGGCCAAAGTTGTCAAAAGTGAACCTCCTGGAATTTTTTCAAAAGTGTACAAATCCTGTGACAAAGTGGCAAATCCTGGCTACAGGCTTGTGCTGCCATTTTTATATTGGCCCAAAACTTATGAATTAAGTCAAGCTTATTTTCTTGTAATTTTCTGACATCACAAACTGACTTGGATACAGTTGATATTGACACCATGTCTATTTGCATTGTAGGAGGGGTAAGCTGACATCATGAACTGAATTGTGTGGAGTTGATATTGACACAATGTTTATTTGTATTGTAGGAGGTGTAAGCTGACATCACAAACTGAATTGAGTGCAGTTGATATTGACACCATGTTTATTTGTATTATAGGAGGTGTAAGCTGACATCACAAACTGAATTGATTACAGTTGATATTGACACCATATTTATTTGTATTGTAGTAGGTGTAAGCTGACATCACAAACTGAATTGAGTACAGTTGATATTGACACCATGTCTATTTGTATTGTAAGAAGTGTAAGATTACATCAAAAACTGAATTGAGTACTGAAATTGACATCTTTTACATTGAGTTGAGTGTGACATCGTGCATGCTTATTTGTACAGTAGAGTACAGTTGATATTGACACCTTGTCTCTTTGTAATGTAGGAGGTGTAAGCTGACATCACACACTGAATTGAGTACAGTTGAAATTAACACCATGTATATTTGTACTGTAAGAGGTGTAAGCTGACATCACAAAATGAATTGAGTTCAGTTGATATTGACACCATGTCTATTTGTATTTAGGAGGTGTAAGCTGACATCACAAACTGAATTGAGTACAGCTGAAATTGACATCTTGTACATTGAGTTGATGAAGAAATGGGACATGTCTCCTGATAAGGATAGAAACCTCACTCAAGGTAGGTTTCTGTTAGGCTGGTCAATCTATTTTTTGTCAGAAGTAATTTGAAAAGTTTAAAGGTTTAGACCTTCTTTATCCCCCTCTTCCATAAAGCTTGATATTGAAATGACATTTGTGTGAAATGAGTCGCTACTTTTATTTGAAATTTTGTCATCAAACAAAATTATTTGGGAATTTGGAAATAAGTTATATAGTATTTGACCTGGCCACCTAATACAGGGTGGTCAAAAAATGGAACCCTTGCACCATTTTCCTCATATATTTGTCATTTTAAGAAATTACTCCCTGATATTTTGCACATTTGCACATTATTCAATTTCCTACCAGCTTACTTTATTTCACAATGTTACAACACTTTACAGAACATGCCCTAGTGGCCACTATTGCGCTGTCAGGCCACCTGCACTCGTCGTCCAAAATGTCCCTACCTGTGGAAATTGAATGATGTACAACCAAATGTGTGAAATATAAGGGAGAAATTCTTTAAAATGATATTAGGAAAATGCAGGGTTTCAATTTTTTGACCACCCTGTAACTCTTACAGGTAGGCCTAATTAATGAAAGGCAATATGATTCAATTTGGTCATCTTTCCACCCACAAATATTGAGTTTAGAATGAATAAACAGAATATTGAATCATTTTATATTTATTTTAGGTCTTTGTTATCAAGGTTTTATGGAGGGATTCCTGCAAATTGCACATAAGAAATTTCCATCATCCAACAAACTTGACACGGTAGAACAATTAATTGATTACTGTGAATCAAATTTGGAACTTCATAATTACCGCCTTGGCTCATCCATCCTTCCAAGGGTGCCCTTAACGAAAGCAGAGCGCAGAATGGACGAATTAAAAAACATTTATGGTAATGTTCCAAGTAGTTTAAAACGACCAGAATATTTCTTGGATTATCAAAGTTTTCCTGTAGAGAGTCTAAGGAATCACAGAAAACATAAGTCAAGAACTGGTAGGAGTAACCATGGTAACTCGGAAAAAGCAAAGGAGGGTTTCTCTGATTCAGATGATCATGAACCTCATTGATGCAGTGGTGACATATTGTTATAGTCTCCAACTTTTTAGTAGATGGTGTTAAGCGGGTGATGTCTGTAACAAATGGTGGATGGTGACATTTTGCATGTTAATGCCTTGTATGAGATTTTCATGTTATGTGATGATCTTTGAACTGTGTTCATAACTAACTGTTTGCAGTATCCACTTATTTACATCTTACAAAGATGTTTTGCTCAAATGGTGACCCTATGGAATCACTTACTTGTTCAGCTGTCTGTCTATCCGTCCGTCCATCTGTCTGTCATCAACTGTCAGACTAATATAAAATTCCATCCATTTATACCACTATGCTTGATAACCATTTTTGGGCTTTATGCTCATAGTTTACACCATTAGTCCTGGCTCATAGTATACTTTTGCCCCTTTTTGGGAAAATCAGCTAGCTTTTATTAACATATTTCTATGTATTTAACAAAAATGAAAAAATAAATGTGTGAATGCATAATGAAAAGCTGTTAAAATCATGCAGTTCTAGAATTTTACTATTTTTTATTATTTTATATAGTTATGCAACTGATCATGATTAGCTCATTCAGCATAATACAGAATTTTGAAATTTGTTTGGTACATTAGTATTTTAAATTGAGATATATTATAAGAAATATGTCTTCTTTTGATTGACAACTTAATGTATACAAAGTTGTGCAAATAACAAATACAAATACCTTATTTATATTATAAACAATTGTACTGTTTTCTCAACACAATTTTCTTATGGCATATTACACTCCCCTCCAAAAGTTTGGCATGCCTATTTCTCCACTGTATAACTTTTTAAAAATTTCTTTACTATTTCCCCATTGCCATTGGTCATTGTTGAAACACAGGATCAAATCCTAAAGGCTGGTGTGAAAAAGTCACTCTATTTTGGTGGGAATTGAACCCACAACCTCCATATTAAGTGTTGAATGCTCTTAGATTGAAAGTATATTTGATCATTTTTGAATATAGCCAATCATAAACTGGCTTTAGATATTTCCCAACAGGGAAGCTGGTGATACCATACTTTTGGATCGGAGTGTAGATGCTGCAGATATAAATTATAACAATGCTCATACAAATAAAGTTGTTTATGTTTTGCCTGGAAATAGAAATGACTATCTTTAATGGAAATAATGTATTAATTTTTCAAGTATTTACCCATAAATGTAGTGTCATTAACAGTAAGTCCAAAAAGTTATCTTTTGAAAGTTGCCTGAGACACCATTACTGTATCTTTAGCCCGAGTCACATATATGCAAGGACTTGGTGCTGGGACTCTGTATATTAATAAAATTGTGAATCACTTTTAAAACACCCCTAATATTATGTTTATTGACTCATAAATTGAAATGTTAGGGAAGAAAACCCTACAAAACCCCATAAACATTATTAAGGATATTTTGATTGGTGAAACTTGCAGATCATTATCTGTTTGAATTAAAATTGAAAGCAACATTATATTCAATTGATATATAAATGTGAATTACATATCTAGAGAAGCATTTGTGTGGAAGTCAATGGGAAAGTTAGCTGGCTATATCCACTGATTTTTATTAAGAACTCGATTTGGACATACTGTTATCAAACAACAAAGAAATTATGATTGTGCTTCCATCAACTTTATTTACTTCTCTCCTTTCCAAAAACAAATGCAAATCTTTTGCCATAACCTGTTTGCATCATCCTCTCTCAAGCAGACTACAGTGCGTCCCAAAAAAGCAAAAACATTGTAAAACCACAATAACAGTGATGATCAATTTGATTTAGTTTACCATGAAGCCACTGTCTCCCCTTTCCAATGATATGTCATCTGTTCATATGTGATCATGGATCATTGAATAATCGTTGTTTTTTCGTGCATGGGTGAAAAGATATATCTACACACAGAGATTGGCTGGTCCCTCCATGTCGCTAACACCACTTTGAACCATCTTTGGATTCTGGATGAGAGCAGCAACCTCATTGGTGATTCTCTGTTAACTATTGCAATGTCTAAAACTTGGTCCGCAGCAGATTTTGCCCTGTTGTGCAAAAGGTATGATTATTCAGCGGTCTGTGGTTTTATATGAATAAATTTCATACCATTGGAAAAAGGAGACACATGGCTTCATGGTAAACTAAATCAAATTGATGTAATCACCACTGGTTTTGTGGTCATACAATATTTTTGCTTGCGTTTTTTTTTGAATGCACTGTACATAGTATATGCATCCAATTCTTGAATGGATTAGAGGTACACAAAGCAGGTTTGTAAAATGTTGTATTTTCTACAGCTCACACGATAAACAGTAGCTATACAGTATACATTCTGCAATCAAAGCTATATACAATATATATGTATATATATATGCAACACAACTATATGCAACATTCCGACTGTGATATGATTTACAAACAAAGCGTTGAGTCAATGAAGTATCTCAATAAATGGCAATGAAGTTATACATACATATAATAATGTGTACTCTATGTCAAATGAAAATAAATGTTTTACATATGTGTTTTATATAAAAATATCATTTTTGTTATATTTTTATGCAATAAACATAATATTTCTAATGTTCACACAATATCAATATCCTTTTACTCTGGGGACCAAGGTGCACATTTTTAAATTTTCGTAGCAGCCCCAGAGTGAAGTCACAATTTACAGCATATATCATTTTAAAGCTAATGATCTACAGTAAGGTATCCAAATTGATGCATTTTAGGTCAAGGTAATTTGTACCTATGTAAATTAATATTCCTCAATAATTTAACTTTTTGCAGTTTACATGCTAGTGAAAATAGTACATGCCATGGTATATGTATTTTAATTTCCGAGTTTAATGGTTGTGGCCAAGGTACCAGCTAAATGGATGTAAAAAGTTGTTAGTCTTATATATTGTTAAACTCTTTACTTTGATAAAATCTCTTTAAAAGCATCAACCACCAGTCCTTCAACAAGCCCACCTCCTTAGCCACTGCCGTTGACAACCAAATCCCTCATCAACCTCCACATCCACCACATCCACCACATCCACCGCAACCACCACATCCACCCCCACAACCACCCCCATCTCCCCCACAACCACCACCATCTCCTCCACAAGCTGCCCCACATCCCCCACAGCCACCACAATTTCCTCCTGCATCACAATCACCAGAATTCTCCACACCACAAGATGTATCAACACCACTATGATCCACAAGCTGGGTGTCAGAACTAACCCCATGGTTGTCATGGTAATGGTTCATCACGTAATAATTACATGGCATCATCATATACCAATTATGCATCATGTACCCAGCAGCCATCACAAACAACAGGTCATGGGTGTCCTGATCTTTAACCTTACGTGTACCTCTTTTCTTTGGAGGTTCTGCTTCAGCAATTGTGACGGGTGTTTTCGGTTGGCACAGGGCAAACAAAGTTGCAACTGAGAAACCCAGTGCCAAATGTTCTCCGATGTAATCAGTTTGATTTGTAATATCCATTTCTCCTGTTTTCAAATTGATGATCACGCTACCAAAGGAGAACTTGTTGTTGTCAAAGTGTTTTTTTGTGGATGCCTGCATATAATTATACGCAGATGTCAGCTTGATGTTGATGGGGTTTAATTTGTAGAATGTGGCCTTAAACCATCCTGGGTTGCCTTTGATAGCACGGCTACCTAAACAAACAAATAATTCAAAACAATATAGAATATTATCGGTTGCAACAAAATAAGAGCACCATGGGCTATTAGTGATAATCTTTATCCCAGCTCCCTTATATAAATGCAATGAATTTTCAAAGATCCTGCAGTATGGAAATTGTTGTCAATTCCCATACAATTCTATTGGGGTGAATAACTAGTAGTTTGAACCCAGGGATTATGAAAATGTACAACACCTCTGGTATTGATTTATTGTAAGATTAATTTGGACATCTACTAGATATAGTATACATGTAGTAGGTTAATCCAAGGGATTACAAATAGTACTGTATATGATTGATGTATTGTAGAATTAATTTGGACATTTAGTAGTAGGTAATCCCAGGGATTACAAATTGTACTATATTTATATGGTTAATGTATTGTAGAATTCATTTGGACATTTCCTAGCATGTTAATCCTCGGGATTACAAATTGCGTTGTCTATTGGTGATTTATGTGATTGTTTTGACAATTTATCTTGAGATGGACCGTTAATAATGTATTCAAATGATCGTAGGATTAGACAAGAATATACATTCTTTATAAAAATAAACTGCATTCTTTGGTGAATAAGAACTATCTCTAGTTTCATTTAGTTTCAAACAAACTAATGGCCTTCCATCAGGTCATTCCAAACAATAAAAAAATACTCTACATCAATTAGATCACTCTTACACTCAACAGTATATACACGCTTAATTCAAAAAATGTTGCATAAATCATTTTTATGCGCCTTTGTTGAAAATATGATGGTAAAGCTGTAGGTCAAACTAAAATAAAAACTAAATTCATCCTCCAAAGTATTTCTCTTTCACTCACAGAGGTATTTCAGTTTATGCTTCTAAAATCTCAATAAGTTACTGCTTTACTTCAATCAGACCATTTTTAACATGTTTCACTGTCTGGACAAAGATTTTTAACGATGGGTCTTCATCTCACTGATTGAAGTACACAATTCCAAGGCCAATAAGTTTACATCCTCCTAAAGCAGGTGTCCAGAATCTGCACCTCCTAAGACATTCTGGATCTTAAAGCCATGTGATCGGAGGATGATAAGTTTGTGATTTATCAGTCTCAGACCATGCAGTATTGCAGCAAACACAGATGGAAAAGAAACACTGAATCTGTCATAAAGTAACAGGTCACAAGGATTACAAACAATGGTTATAAATTAAAGAAACAGAAAAGGTTGTGGATATTAGAGGTTTTCACACAAGACTGAACATTCAGTCTCGATTGATGTTCATTATCCGTGATTAGGTGTAGATCTAGATTCATCAAGGGCATTTATTTTAATACTTTTTGTATACTTGGGAATAATAACCTTTTACTCATTACTTGCCCATAGAGGCTTTTTGCCACGTGGGAAATTACCATGGGATAAAGACGTTAAAGTCTAATTTAAGCATACATGTATATTTCAACACAATCAAAAATTCACTCTTTTGAAAGCAATAAAATAAAATGTTCTTAGTAAAATTCAGGACCTTTTGTAATCTAAATGGCTTGAAATTCGAACAAACCACAAAATCTGTTGCTGCACCCCTGACAGAACAGCCTTGCAGACTGCTATGTCTCACCATGTCCCATGTAACTCCTTCTGCTCTTGAAAATGATCTACATGTACAACCCAGAATCTGTTTATCTGGGACCCAACATTTGCTTAAATATACTCATACAGAAATATAAAGTATAGATTACATTTCGAAGTACAAAAACAAACTCCAAACATCCCAATGTATATAATGTATACAAATCAGTATTCAATAATGCATATCTTAAACAGAGAATAAACGCAATGATTTTCATAACTGCATACATAATAGTAAGTATTAAATTATTGATTATTAAATTGCCGCTAATGTTGTAAAACCTTGGCAATTAGCTACTTGAAATGGATTGTAATTGTTTATATTAGAAATAAATTGATAACATGAAGAAAAAAAAAGTAATTACTAGCATGGGGCTAGCCCATCTTATATATTAGATAAATCTTCATTGACATCTTAAAACACAAAACAATAGGTTTTCATTTTGAATTATTTATTGTCAAAATATCACAACATACATGTAAATTACACAATTCAAATAATTCATTTACACCAAATTTATTCATTAATTGGTACATAAAATGAAAATATCTAAAGAATCACAGGCCCATGGCCAGGTTTTCCCAAGAGGGATTCACTTTTCAAAAATTTCCAGGGGGGTTCAGATTCGACAATTTTGGCCCAAAAATGGCCCAAATCCTTGAAAAATGCTCAGAATATTCTCTGGCTACAGGCCTGGAATCATGTCTGCTGGTATTTGATAAGGCTCTAGCCCACTCAGTATTTTTTTTTAGAATTATGGCCTTCTTACAAGGCCTTAAAATTGACATTTTTATTTTACAAGTTCAGTCAATGGGTAAGTATTGTATTGTCCTAAAACTGATAAAACCTAATCTATTGATCATTTACATATTTACAATTCTTAATCTGTGAACATTAATTGAATTCTTCAAAAAATTTGGTGTCCATTTTAATTGGTAATGTAACAATCCTGCCTATTTGATCTCTGTCAACAATCAATTTATAATGTTCACCTGAATAACAAATTGTCAAAATCCATCAAATGGTAAAACCATTACATTAAATTGTGCAAAAATAATACAATAATAATTATAATATCACCTTGATCTAGTTCCCATCAACCAATTCCTGAAAAGCTGATATTAACGTTTTAAAGACATCTACTTAGTAGAGGTTCATACAATAAGAAAATACCAATGATAACATTCCAAATCCCACCGAACAAAACAAATTTTTAACCTATACAATTCAAAGGAAATCTGTCAACTGGTATTTGAGTTATTGCCCAGACAAATAAATGGATGGAAAAATTAAAGATGGATAGACAGCTTCCCTATATCCCTTCCTGAACTCTGTTTGGTGGGATAATAACCAACTCAAAGCCCTAAAAACCATTACAACGATATCAAACAAATGCTTTACAAAACAAGGCATTAACATGACAAAATGTCACCACCAAATTGCTCATTGAAGGTCAAATCGTTTTTGAAGGTCAAATCTATAGTCAAATTTGAACTTTTGAGAATTTGTAGATGATTTTGAAAAAAAACAATTGGTCAATTTGAAACAAGTTGAAAAAGACCTTTTTGACCTTTTTTTACCTTGAAAAGGTCATTGAAGGTCAAATCACAAATCTAAAGTCAGATTTGAACTTCTGGTAACTTGTACATGATTTTGGAAAAATTGGTCAATTTTAAGCAAGTTGAAAAAAGACCTTTTTGACCTTTTTAACCTTTATTTGACCTTGAAAAGGTCATTGAAGGTTGAATCTTAAATATAAAGCCAGATTTAAACTTCTGAAAACTTGTAGATGATTTCGAAAGAAATTGAAGTCAGTCTAAGCAGTATTTGTTAAGTTATTTGGAGTTGTAAGAATTTATTACAGATGCCAATCGCCAACCGCCGATCCCCGCCACAAAAAAACGAACCACTTTATGGTTGTGACATAACAACATAATTTCTTATGAGAAAATGTGTTTACATAACAAACCTTATCAATCAAATGGAATGTTGGCAAGTCAAGTGTTTAATCCTAATAAATCATTTGACAAAATGTAGTTTTAAGATAATGTACCCCTTTTTGAAGAAATACAGGTATATAACTCTGATGTTTAAACTTATGATCCCTCTCCTTGTTTAAAATACATGTAGTTATAGAAATACTGATTTAATATTGTTCTTTTCTGAAATTTAAACAACTCCACATAAAATGTCCAACTCAGAATATGACATGGTGCACATAATTTCAACTTGTAAGATGGCAAAAAATAATATAATAATGAGTAGAATAAAATATAATAATCAACAATACATATATGATAAACTAATATAACATAGCTTATGTACGTCACACAAAGTGCATTTATAGTTTTCACAAATAACTAGTCAATGTATTTACACCTTCTGACTTGTCAAGTAGGTGCTTATGCATGTTTAAGTGTTAACAATTATACCAGGGTTGAGTCCTTGATTTACATTAAAAAGGTTTCTAATTGAATTTCAATTCCTTTTAATAATATTGTTAAAAAATATCTTGCTATGTGTGATGATTTAGCATGGGACTCAGATTTGTAAATGCATTCATTTCTTGTCTGCTTTAGCTTCAAACATTTATAAAAGAAACTTCTTGCAAAAAATATAAAATATACAATTACGAATACAATAATACAATTTATATAATATTTGAAATATTTACTGCACTGTACACTGCCAACAAGAGGGGGAAAAACCCCAGGGCTCAGAGATGACATACATCTATAATGTAAATCTGTATTGAGAAGACATCGTCGCTGATTGGTCAAATCAACAGGCAAATGACATCATTCAATGGCTGTTCCAAAATTTTCTAAAAACACTTCAAATAATAATTTGTTAATATCTGGATTGTTAACACCATAGCTTGTTATTTCACATTAAGATAAAGAAATGTCTAGGAATATGCTAACATGATTAAAACAACACAACGACGTGTGATATTCTGAAACTAGCTGGTAAAAATTTAAACAAATGAAGAGACGTAATTATGTCTGTCATTTCCTAAGCTCTGGGGTTTTCCCTCGTCTTGCCGACAAGCTAAAATTATGCCAATCCACATGTCATATGACAAAGTACTTATTTACATCATGCCTTGTAAAATAGGCCACATAAGTAAGCAATGAACTTCTACAAAATATTGTGCCATTCCTCGGAGCTCCATTGTTCATTTGAAAATCACTTACTTTTTAACCAACATTAACAGGACATGTACATGTACTATATATCAAATGAAAGCTTTTTTGGTAATGAACACAAGTTCCAGCAGCTATAAGGGTTACATATATTTAGTATTATCCATACAATTTGTCATCTATAATACACAATAGCATTTTATGACACTCCATACATAGTCTGTATTTATTTAAAGTATTTTGAAAATCAAGTTATCCTAAGAACAATTTAATATATAAATTGGATAACATTATTCTTCAGTATGGCGATGGATACCATTTTCGGGGATTATGATTTGTGGAAAAGTTTCTCCCATTATGGTCTTCACATATTCATCCACAATAACAGAATAATTTTCACGCCCATTTCATATTTTACCAATTCAGTTCACGTTCAAGATGGCTAACTTTCGCATTATTTTGGGCAAAATTAAATAAGAACAAAATAAATATGGCAAACATCAATCAATATGATAATAGGATTCAATCCAATGATTTCCAGCTATCAAATTTATCCACTCTTCAAAGGTAAAAATTTGAATAAAAATGATATCCCTCAACTGCTCAAAACTCATAAGATATTTAGTCCATATCAAGCCAAATATTATTCATATATTTCTTCTTCGCTTTTAAGTGAAGCATATATAAAATGTTCTCCAATTGGTGGTATGAGTTGGTTACATTCTAATATAGAATATAAAACAAACATACCCAATCAACCAACCAACGATCAGGATATCTCTACCCCATAAATGTGGGGTTGATTTTTCAAATCACTTCCACAACTATTCAGGCTCTCAGCATACAATACTATATTTTACTTCATTGCACTCCAGTCTATCAATATATGCTATATGTACGTGTACTGCATCTCTCACCCCAATAGGAAAGTGGGTTAGAGTGAAACTATGTCATTAAGTAGCTTTTATCTTGAATAAGAATTTGTAAATTGGTTATGTAGCTGTTTTGGAAATGGACAAAAAATGTTAAAAGGAGTGATGAGGTTTTTTGTAGAGATTCCATCACTGGCCTTTTCAGATTTACGTTCATGTATCCCCCACCTTACACAATTAAGGTTTGTCAAATCTCAAACCGAGTGTTCAAAATTAATACAACACTTTCATTCATCGTTATTTACATTTTCTCCCTATATGTTATTTACACGAATGATGTTGACTTCTTCACAAGATTTATTTCTTACTTGCTTGTCAATATACCAAAAATGTGTTATCACAAAAAAGCCTAAAGACAATATGCAATACTATGTTACCAACTCTAGACCTATCAATTATACAGATAGATAATTTCAATGCTCAACTACTGAAGGGGCTTGTTGCATATCATCATGTACATGCACTTTTTAAAACACTGCCCCTTGTAATTCATGTCTTTAATTCTAGGTTACAATTCTAAGGTAATAATAAAAATTAGACTTCAGATTCCAAAATATATTTGACCAATAATTATATGCATTTCAGAGAAAAGTTCTCACATCAATACTAAAATTGACACAAATATGTACATATTTACAGCCCATATTATGGACTTGGGACTCTAGGTTTTTCATTGGGTACTTCTGATACGGATAATAATAGCATTTATTACAGTTGAAACTATGCATATAGCAATGTTTCACATCAACATCATACCAGTTCCAATTGTTCCAACATTCCATCCTTTCATCCCTTTGTTATATCATAAACTGATCCAATCAACCAATTTGGACTAGTCTATTCATGTAGCAAACTCCTCCACATAAGGGTTGTTAGCATATGATTTCAAGTTACCCACCACATCCACCCCCACATCCTCCTCCACACCCTCCTCCGCAACCACCCCCACATCCTCCTCCTCCTCCTCCTCCACAACCACCCCCATCCCCTCCCCCACATGTAGCACCACCCCCACAAGCAGCTCCTCCCCCGCACCCTCCAGCCCCTGTGTCTCCTCCTCCACATCCCCCGCATCCTCCACAGCCCCCACATGCTCCAGTGTCTCCCCCTATATCCCCACCAGCACCATCAACACCTCCATCTATGGGATCACTGGTCCCAACCTCGACCCCACCCTCAGTTTCAACTCCCGTGTATACATCCATCCCACTATGGTCAACAACATGCATGTCATGATGCATATCATGGTAATGATAATGATGCATAGCGTAATAGTTGCATGGCATCATCATATACCAATCATGCATCATGTACCCAGCAGCCATCACAAACAACAAATCATGATTATCATCATTTGCCACCGAACGTCCACCTCTTTTCTCAACTACAACAGCTTTACTAGCATTTCCATTCTGCACAGGGGGTGCTGTGAGTGGAGTTTTAGGCTGGCATAATGCAAACAATGTCGCAACGGTGAAACCAAGAGCCAGATTCTCCGTAATGTCATTGGTATTCTGTGTTATGGTCATAGCTCCTGTCTTCAGATTAATCACGACATTTCCAAGAGAATAATTCTTCGATTTGTAGTTTGATTCGTTCGTTATCTGTTGGGTTATTTTCTTGCCAGCTACATCAATCTTGAAGAACCTCACTCTGAACCAACCTGGGTTGCCTTTGATGGCACCAACACCTGCAAATAAATGAAACTAAATGAAGATACATTGAAACCATCAAAAAGGACATAAATATATAAGGCATGTCTTTCTGACCATTACAGGTAAGGCTGATTTGTTTTTTCTTATTTGTGACATTTTTGAAGAAAATCAACTAAAAAGTGTCCAAAAAAGAAAAAAATGCAAATCAGCCTCATATTTATAGTCTGGGCACTGGCCACCTATATGTGATGTTTTCATAGATTTGAAATATCATCCACCAATGGGAATCTTTGAATAAATTCATGTGATCAATGAACGACACTATGAGATCATGGGAATTAGGGGTGTGGTCAGAATCTAATAAGACATTAACAAGCAAAATGCCATTTGTTAAACACTGAACACTGAATACACAAAACAAGTTGGAGAGTATAAGTTACAATATGTCACTTTGTCTATGGTAGTAATGATAAAAATACAAAAAGTGAATTTAAAATAAGTGAGGCCAAAGGCAATATAATAGGTAGAATTAATTATTATTTGGCCAGCCTCACACCTAGCTTCACCTATAGGATTGCTTTCATCTCCATTTCATCATCACCCCTAATGATATGACTTGATAGATAAGAATTGTTGCATTTTAAAACTGAAGCAATGGGTATAGGGTATTGCATTGATAGTGCCTTTTCTTCTATTCATCACCAAAGCTGGCCAGCTGACACATCGGATAGAAAACAAACTAAAGAAATGGAAATACGAAATACGAGAGGATCACACAATAAAAACGTTATAGAATGATTTGAAGTTCAATACAATTCTGCTCTCGATATTCTGTATTGGCACTAAACTTCGTCTCATTCCAATACAGAACTTCTTGAGCAGAATATATCCTGTATTACACTTCAAATCATTCAATAACTTATAATATAGATGCATAATTGGCAATTACAAGCCAAATACACAGTTTAGTACTTACAATGATATCAGCACTTGGAGCATGCGGTCAGTGGTAATGTGTTGATGAGCTATAAGTTCAGCGCATCGAACAGGTTCATGTGTGGTGGTGACATGCCAAATTCTCCTAGCCAAATCATGCTTATATAAATATTCCAGTTTTTTGATTCAAACAATTTATTATCCAATATACAGTATGTATGTTTGTATTAATTGTATTGCTAGATTTAGATTATGATATTCACTCTTAGATAAAAAGGAGCTAATAAGTTGATTTGAAACAAAATCTATTTTATAGAAAATGAGGGGAGTACCTTAGTGTTTAATACGTCAGTACAAAGTCTTATATTGTCAATTCTCATTGCATCGCTATGAACCATACCTGCACTTAACGTTAACATTCATGTGATCAGGCAGTGCATCATATATTTGAACCAATGGTAGACGTGGAAGCCCCGCCTCTAGTGACTTTTTGACTATATGAATTTTAATAGGGTGCCTAGAATGCATCTTTGTTAATGTAAGACCACAGGCCTTGCAAGTTTAGGCAACTAGATCTCGGGAAGCAAAACTTTAATCTTCAATGAGATATATTGTATAGATGATACAATTGTATGAAAAATATTCATTTATTCTCAAATGTAAAGAAATAATTTATGCAACAAAGTTCAAGTAAATATCAAGCTATAGTTTTTCTGAGATAGTTAAGCTTGTGTGTTATTGTATACCCCTAGATAAGCAATTTGGCTAGAAGAAAAAATGGCATTTTACCATCCACCACTTTACCACTGACGGTTTTATAGCTCCAAAAATGCATTATAATGTTATATACAGCTTTAAAGAATACATTCATGCACATTTTCATTCCATTCAAAAGCAAAACATTCAAAGCATCTTTGACACACAGATACTGCTTAGAGGAGTCAACATTTATAAAAGCGACTATTAAAAACTCACAAATTCGAGCAAATTAAGTGCATGCAAATGAACAAACACATCCAAATACTAATTTAGGGCCTTAAAGCTTTTAGCAAAGGAATCATAATGGTAAATATGTATACATCAATTAAATTTCAAGAACATTTCATATCTGTTTTTCAAAATTTGAATCCTACTTTAAACAGAAGCGACCAGAAATAGCATATGAAAATGTAAAAAAAAATATATATATTAAAATGTAATGTAAGTATGTCCTTGTACTGATGAAAAACTAATATCATGCTGCTGTCTTATAATGATATCTTGTCACGAGAATATTTCCCATGGCACTGGACTATGTTTCCGCCTGACAGAAAGTAATCCTAGCTCTCATATTAATTGCCTATCAATTCATATAAAAAAGATTTATACATCGTTTATTAAAACTGTATATCTGGGTTAATATATTATTTTCCCTCAATGTAAAAGGCAATTTGGCTTTTTTAATAAAACAGGGTTTTTATCAGATTAGAATTAGTACATGTACTTAAATAAGAATTTTTTCTTTGTTTCTCAAGTTAATGAAAAGATGGCATCTGTACAATGTTCAATCATTGTACAGTGTAAAGGAATTATTGAATTTGTGACTGATTCTTAACAGGCCTGACTTTGTCATTTCTGCATGCAGTAGGCAGCCATTTAAAATTAATAAGATATATCTTGACTTGAATCTATACTATAAAAAAACATGTTGTTTCTACATATTATATAGGTAACCTCAAATCAATTCTTCAATTTGATTCATCCATATTTCCATCTTATCTGCTTCAAGGAAAAATCGTGCACTAAGATTTATGTTCCGAGCACGTCCTGTAATAATGCTATAATTTACAGCTTTCTGTTTGTCATTTGCTTGATTGAAGCTGCTGATAAAGCTTCTTTAATTGGCTTCTTTACACTTTTGTTTCTAATCAAAAGTTGAAATTAGTTAGGATTCTGTTGCATATGAGTGCCTGGCTCAAATATCATAAGTTGTTTTTCGCAATATCATATCAATTTTCTTTAGTCCACGCAGTCGATGCTCGCTAAAAACATTAACTTCTCAACTGGAAACATTTCTCACTTATGCCATATCAATGTCCATAAGCTTTATCACAGAAAGGGACCCTTTCATAATATTGTAATATTGTTGAATTGCTTTATTGTGATCAAGACTGCCTCACCTCAAATATATCATTGACAGAGGTATATGGTATTCTTAACATGTACAGCTGCTTTCTAGTTAATTTCCGTCTATTTGCAATATAAAACATGACTTGAATGACGCTGGGAAATCTGGTCTTTGTGCATGATGTTAATAATTTTGAAAATGGAATATTCAATGGATAATTCATAAAAAAAACATGGAAAACGTATCATTCCTCTTTTAAACATCTTAATACCATGATTAAGGAAATTCAGGAGATTTTTATTAATATTATAATGTCCTTGCAAGAACAAGAATGAGAAAAAAATTATTAATATGACTTGCAGATTGTCACTCTCTTAATCTTTGATACTTGCTTTAAAAAAATCAAATCATACCTCTTGAGGGTGCCTTCCCACGCTTGAAGCCTTCCCATTTGCCGACAACGATACCCCAATCTCCCATGGCGTTGCGGATTATCATAGCTCTCTCCCCTGGGGCTAAGTGGATGCAGTCCTTGGCATCATTCACCTGAAAGCAAATAAAGATTTACCCAAATTGCCTCATCAAAATTTTACAAAAAGCTGTGAAAATAGTCCAATAGTAGTATAACATCATCTTTGACTAATGTTTTGTCTCTCAAATGTATTTAACTTTGCCTCAGTAATAACCCACAATCCCCATGGGATTAACAAATAGTGTATAAAATATAAATGAACACAATTAATTGAAGACATGTTAGAAATCAATCTCAATACAGAGTTCTATGATAAAGCATGCTAGTAGTGAGGCATGAACAACTTGAACTGGTCAACTTTTTACGAAGGCCCCCCACGAAGTGGGCGGAGCCATTCGTTCTATAAGTCACGTGACCATAAGTCCGCCATTATTACCTTATATGGCAATCATCAAAATCATCAAAGCAACGATCACAACGTCATATGTTGTGTTTGAGATGAAGATATGACGTAATATAACATAAACTATGACATCAGTTACTTATCGCCCTATCAACTAAACAGACAAGAAAGCTAAACGTCACACATCACAGTGCTTATTATATTTTATTATATATTGTTATATATTATATTTTATTAATATTTTACCTAACCAACAGAAAACAAGCAGTTACAATACATGTAGTTTGTTCATTGTCTTTCTCTGTGGTATTTTCATAAAAAGTGGATCAGTTTTGTCAAAATAGCATTATGGCCTTCGTATTTTTCTAGTGTCATTTTCACTTGATTTTCTTGTTGTACAGGAGCTACCGCTGAGATTCAAAACATCTACCCACATCTTGAGTTTTTCTTTCAAAAATAGACCCATTTTAAGGTAGTTTTTTAAAATAGACCCACTTCCGGTGATTTTATTTAAAAAACAATACCCAGTTTTAGGATTTTCAAAAAGTAGACCCAGTTCTAGGGATTATTCATCAAAATGGAACCCATATTAGGTTTTTTTTCTTCAAAATGGGACCCCCAATTAGGGATTTTTTGAGAAAAAGTGACCCACTTTAGCGGCATCTCCCCATATAGCTGATATATGGGAGTACCCTTCCCCCCTGCGGCATGAAGCAGGCAGGCCTTCTGTCTCACCAAAATGATATAAATATTTTCAGACATCTTTTTAAAACTGAAACAGTGGGGATTAAGTCCAAAGGCAGTAATATTTCTCATTAAGCCTCCTTAGATGATCTTCAACTACTGACATTTGATTGAGTTATTCTATGGATAAGGATTGACTAAAGAAATGTATAGCTACACTTTATCCCGAACAAACTCATTAGTAAAAGATAACAAATAATCAATTCCAAAAATACATAAAATACAATAAAAATGAAAATGTCAATTATTGCTAATTACAGGATGTACATGTAGTCTATAAACCCGCCATATATATCAATTTATTATCGTTGTAGGCCTAAAGGAATGTTTACAACAAACTAATAAACTAGGATAAAATGTTCTTTCTATTGATTTTAAACATGGCCAGTCACTGATATACATGGTTCTTAAAATTGTTTAGAGGAATCCAGGCTCTGTAAGCTTGATAAAAAAGGTTTAACATTAAGATTAAACAAAATACAACAAAATGAAAAGTGTATTTAATTCATATATCAGGCAAAATTTGTTGATTCCAAGAGGATATGGCAGGGCAGCTGGAGGGTCAGGGAAGAGAATGACATGACAGGGCATGAGGGACTTGTGATTTCACATGACAGGGCATGACAGAGTATGATGTTACATTGGATTTAGGGAAGAGAATGACATCACAGAGCATGAGGGTATAGGGATTTCTCATGACAGGGCATGACAGAGTATGATGTTACATTGGATTTAGGGAAGAGAATGACAAGACAGAGCATGAGGGTATAGGGATTTCCCATGACAGGGCATGACAGAGTATGATGTTACATTGGATTTAGGGAAGAGAATGACATGACAGGGCATGAGGGTATGGTGATTTCACATGACAGGGCATGACAGAGTATGATGTTACATTGGATTTAGGGAAGAGAATGACATGACAGGGCATGAGGGACTTGTGATTTCACACGACATGGCATGACAGAGTATGATGTTACATTGGATTTAGGGAAGAGAATGACATGACAGAGCATGAGGGTATAGGGATTTTGCATGACAGGGCATGACAGAGTATGATGTTACATTGGAATTAGGGAAGAGAATGACATGACAGAGCATGAGGGTATAGGGATTTCCCATGACAGGGCATGACAGAGTATGATGTTACATTGGATTTAGGGAAGAGAATGACATGACAGAGCATGAAGGTATAGGGATTTTGCATGACAGGGCATGACAGAGTATGATGTTACATTGGATTTAGGGAAGAGAATGACATGACAGAGCATGAGGGTATAGGGATTTCGCATGACAGGGCATGACAGAGTATGATGTTACATTGGATTTAGGGAAGAGAATGACATGACAGAGCATGAGGGTATAGGGATTTCCCATGACAGGGCATGACAGAGTATGATGTTACATTGGATTTAGGGAAGAGAATGACATGACAGAGCATGAGGGTATAGGGATTTCACATGACAGGGCATGACAGAGTATGATGTTACATTGGATTTAGGGAAGAGAATGACATGACAGGGCATGAGGGTATAGGGATTTCACATGACAGGGCATGTCAGAGTATGATGTTACATTGGATTTAGGGAAGAGAATGACATGACAGGGCATGAGGGTATAGTGATTTCCCTTGACAGGGCATGACAGAGTATGATGTTACATTGAATTTAGGGAAGAGAATGACATGACAGAGCATGAGGGTATAGGGATTTCCCATGACAGGGCATGACAGAGTATGATGTTACATTGGATTTAGGGAAGAGAACGACATAACATGGCATGACAGCGTGAGGATGGCAAATGAACAGGGTAATGTGGTACAATGGACATGAATCAGGAAATGGAATGACAGGGCATATAGAGGTGCCACCTGTCAGAACATGACACGGTTAAGAAATGACATGGCATTGTAGGGTAGGATGGCCCATGGCGCAGTCTGGTGGAACAGTGCAAGATATATTGCAGATATCAGTCCTAAGATACAGTAAGGCATATACAGGGTGAGCCAAAAAAAGGTAACCCAAACAAATGTCAATTACTCCATCATCCATTATGGATTCAAAATCATATTTGGCACAACTAAACTTTGTTCAGTGTTCTTTCATTCCATATAGGTTTCATTGGTCTATTTTTGATGGATGCGATTTTATGGCCATTTTAAAAAACATGCTTAAAATACGGATCACATACCAAAATCACCCAATATGAATCTCCAGGTTTATCTTTGGAGCTATTTCAAGGATATTGCCAACACTTCTAGACAGTCTCTAAGCATGGACGAAGCAAAAGAGGGGCTTCGTGGGGCTCATGCGAACCCCCTTTGCCTCGAGCTCCCCTTCATTTTAAAATGAACCTGGTTGGGAACAACCCCCTTTTCAGAGAGATCTACAGACCCCAGGCTGGGAACAAACCCTACTCTCAGAAAGATGACTATTTGGCGCAAACAATGAAACACTCGTTTATACCAGCTACTTGATGACACATGTATTTAATATTCTATCATTTAAATGGTTCGTTGAAACCATTTCTGTAGTACATCCCCATCCCATACCCCATTTGATATAGACCAATGAAACTTTGTAGAATGAAAGAACATTGAACAAGGTTTAATTATGCTAAATATAATATTAAACCCATGCTGGATGACAGAGTTATTTCAATTTGTTTGGGTTACCTTTTTGGCTCACCCTGTACATCAACGATAACACTTCACATTTGTCTTTTGTATTATCTTTTAAGATAATTAAACCACTCATAAATATCATGAAAATATGTTGTGTCTTCATATAAAGAGACAATCATTCAGGAGAACAAATAGAATATATTGATTAACTCAGTGGAAAGAAGTCTTTTATTATATAGCACCTCATTACATCAAGAAAGACACATAAGTAGGCTTAATCTTATATGAGGCTATGGGATAATGGTCTTGTTTTCCAATATTTCTATTTACTTAAATATGTATATCAATTACTGCTCCCATTCTCCATTGAAAGTATAATTGAATCAATAATATCGAAGTCAATATTCCATAATACAAATACCAAAAATGTTAAAAATATTTTAAACTTTATTAAAAGCAATGTACTTGGAAAAACAGTAAGCCTATTGGACAATGTAACATCCCAAAATGGTAATTAAGGAAAGCATGTTTTCAACCTTACATAGTAAATTACATAGTGAATCCAGGTGAAAAAACAACTTTATCTTACATAATCCTTATATGGACAAAATCAATGGAATGGACATATCCCTATAGACAAAATCAATGATTTCTAGGCATAAAATAATTAATAAAAAAGTAATGGTCTTGATGACAGTTCTGATTTGTGATATTAACTCTGCTGTAGTCTCCAAAGAAAATACTTTATGAAAGCCATTTATCTGCGACTGTCGTCATAAAACAACATTTTGGGATCAACAGCCTGTAAGATCTCTTGGAGCGATACGAGACTCTCAAGACTCGTAAACTCTCAAGCATTTGAAGAAGGACTCTGTTATATCAGATCAGATCAAACATTCATTAAAAAACTTATATAACACTACCTAATCAAACTAAAGAATATGTTCCTACACAAATGGAAATTCATTATTTACTTGTTTATTACACTGGAACCTTGGTCACTTATTCTAATACATTTATAAATATATCAGGGTTTTTATTCTTCTTTCTGGTACTTCTTTATTACTCATGTCAGAAAAGTATTTATAAACCGTGCCTCATTACATCTCTAATATTTCAGATGCAATGAGGCATGGTTTCAAAGTGTTCAATGATTAGCAATATGAATTATTTATAAATAATTTTATTGTTATAACAATATCTGAATATCTGAAGTTGTGATAAATGCTTTTAGAATCTGTTCTCTAATGTCTATTGCAGTCAATTTATATCAAACTTATCTTATTTTACGAGTATTAATACTACAACGAAGGCCTTAAAGAGAGAATCAGATCTAGCCAGCACCCAAACAAAAAATTGATTCAATTTTAGAATATTTCTGGCTTATGTCATTCCTTTTCATGTCTAGTTTCTAAAAATTCTCAAAGTGTACACTTTATTTCAGGAAAACTAAAGATTTTTACAATAATGTATTACTTTTCTATAAGAATGGTTACCATTCTTATTATTTGGGAGAACTTAAACATTTTCCCCCATTTTTGCACTTTGAATCCATAATAACTTCACCAATTTATAACATATTATGAACCTTTTGGAAGATATTGTATTTGATATCGTAAGAAATAGATTGGAAGATCAATTGTACATGTTGCTTGTAATTCTATCACTAGATCTGATTCTGCCTTTAACTTACGAATTAACTGAAAGATCTTTCAATTTAACACAGCCGTTACAAATGAGGAGAAAAACTATTCTGTTTATAATCTTCATTCATATACAAGCCCTGGCCTCCAAACGAGGCCTAAAGATGGAGTATTGGTTAAAGGAGTACTATGTTTTACAGATTACCTCAATGGCTAAAACTGAAACATGAGGATCAAGCAGTATTTTAGTTTTAATTCCAACACATAAAATTCCTCTTAATTTCAACAAGATTTTTCCTTTATTTTACCAGATGAATAAATTGCCTTTTCTAATATCGCAGCTAATTTGGTGATTTAAATGACATTTTGGTTTTCCGTTGGTCTCTTTGGGACCATATTTCTATTTGCCAATAGATTAGAGACAAGAAATGGATAGTGAACTGCAACTGAATTAGAAAAAAGGCAACTCAATGGAGCTGTAAATCCTCAAATAATTTTAAATATATTTCACCCTAGAAATAGCAGAAATAGGCTAAATCAAATTTAGACCCATGAAATAGTATGGGTTTTAAAACTACCAACATGTAAAATTGAAATATCACTTATTTCAAAGCGATTATTTTTATTATTTTTATTAATTTATTGACATTCGATATTCATATACAAATATTGAATATTTTATATATATATACACCATTAATATATTTATATTTATGTACATGTGTGTACATAAGTACATTCAACAAGATCAAAAAATAAAAATCCTTACAATTCAATTTCATGAATGATGACAACATAATATAATAGACTACAGTTCTACTAGTCATTGTACTCATTATAAGAAAAAATAAAAATCTGCAAAGGATCTATTTGGATCAGCTACTGTAAAGGGGTATTACATGCAGATTTAAGATATATCAATCAACATAATTATCAAACAAACAGAAAAACAACTAGACAACAGCAACTCCAGGGTGTAGCAAATCCCACCGAACAAAACATGTTTTGATAAAAAGCAGCCATTTCAAAAATTTCTTCTTGAACAGAGCTCCTTTTGCCATTTGGAAATTCAGCTGTCATCTTGAAAATTTCTTCTTGAGCAGAGCTCCTTTGTCCCTAGGCATCAGTATATAAAAATTGAACCAAATTCATCTACTGGTATCAAAGAGTTATCAAAGATTATGTTCTCTTACAAAAAATGGCAGCCATTTTGAAAATTCAGCTGCCATCTTGAAAATGTCTTCTTGAGATAACTTTAAAATATATAAGCTTATAATGGAACATTCATTAAAGCATACTTCATCTTTGTGCCTTATATATGAGACATAATTTAAGAGAAGTTTTGAAGAAAGATAAAAAGAAAATCATTCTTTGATGAAAAAGAAAATCATTCTTTAATGTAATTTAAAAACAATAATTAGTTTAAGCTTTAGAATCTTTTCAGATTAATTAAACTGCTAAGATGGTAATACAGAACTTTCAATTCCATTCGCAACCAATCGAGTTGTTAATATGCTATTAACTTGCGGATGCACGATGTCGCGTCTAGCCATTTCCATATTTTGACTTTCTATATGAGGACAATCTGACCTTTTCTTTGATCTTAGGTGAGACATGTCTAGAAACTTTAAACGGAATGATCTTCCAAAATATAAATATATCAAAAACTTTACCGAATAATTCAGGCCAGCAGTGAATGTGACGATATTGTAAATGAGGCTTGGTTGGTTGTTGAAATTAGCATGATGAATAATACCATATATGGCATTTGGAGTGGTCGTAATAATAAACATTAAAGAACTAGAGCAAAGCATAATTGTCAACTGTCTGTCAATAATCCGTCGATTCTTCTGTTGGAGTTGTGTGACTTGATCTAAAGATGCTTGTTGACGAATAACAAATAGTCCCCGGTACTGATATTGTAACCTCACAAATATTGCAATATTTAAACAGAGAACTATAGCAATGGGACTATATCCAATGAAGTAAGTACATGTTGTATGAATGGTATGACTTGCGGGTGATTTCGCAATTGAACATTGCCAACTATCGCCATCTTTGATCGCATGTGTGTATATCAGCCAATAGGAGTCCAGACAGTATATCACAAAACAAATACAAAAAGTTATAAACTTCACTTTTCCGTGAGTGAAATATTTTCTCCTCAATAAAGCTGATGTCACTGACACCAGTCTCTCCAGTGCTATGGCAACCATAATACAACAGGATATGTTTGTACACGTTGCTGAAAAAAATTGTGAAAATTTGCAATACCCATGCGAAATCTCCACGATGATTTTGTTACCTTCTAACCATAGTCTTAAATAGTGAAACCATAGATAAAGGATGTCTATGAAACTCAGTGCTAATATGTAAATACACACAGAAAATTGTCTCAATTCTTTGTTTGTCATCACTACTATAACAACTGCATTCATCATAGTTCCTATAATGACAAGCAACAAGTAACCATGGCAAAGTACTATGATGTAATCCGTGACAGCCATCGTTTTTTGAGGAATTGTACGGGACTTGGTACTATATACTATTAGTCACTGGTTAGCTTTTCAAATTCAGGTGTAACAGTCACCTTTTTGTCAAGTTAATCTAATTTACAGTCCTCTAGCAATGGGGATAAATGCACTACGGGAGTATATGCTGTCAAGATATCATGATTGGTAGGAAAAATCATTCATTGATGTGAGGAGCAATTAAACTGTGGCAGCTCTAAAGGCATTATTTTTCCTCAAATAATTAGCGATAATATCTGAATTCCGTTGCATGTCTTTTGCATACTGAGGTATAATCAGTTTTATTCCTGAAGTCCTTTTAAGTAGATTAACTATCTCAGAATCAATTATTATTTGCGCCTCACCTTCTGCGACAAATGAATCGTTCCAATGAGATTTATCTATTGATAAGCATAGAGTTGTAACGTTGATTAAACATCTTTGCGTTCAACTAGGGGCACTTGCGTCAAAGTATTATGATGTCATCTGTTTCTATGGCAGTCATCAATCATACAATAATCATGCGGTTAGCAGCAATACGATAGAACTCATTGAGGACATAATGGAAATATCTGTCAGTTATCTTTCAGTGTTTAAGCTCTCTAACTCTCTCTCTCTGTCTTTAAGCTCTCTAACTCTCTTTCTGTCTTATAGCTCTCTAACTCTCTTTCTGTCTTATAGCTCTCTAACTCTCTTTCTGTCTTATAGCTCTCTAACTCTCTTTCTGTCTTTAAGCTCTCTAACTCTCTTTCTGTCTTTAAGCTCTCTAACTCTCTTTCTGTCTTAAAGCTCTCTAACTCTCCCTCTGTCTTTAAGCTCTCTAACTCTCTCTCTCTGTCTTTAAGCTCTCTAACTCTCTCTGTCTTATAGCTCTCTAACTCTTCCTCTGTCTTTAAGCTCTCTAACTCTCTTTCTGTCTTTAAGCTCCCTAACTCTCTTTCAGCCTTTAAGCTCCCTAACTCTCTTTCAGTCTTTTACCTCTTTTACAGTTTTAAAAACTCAACATTGGTCACATTTTCTTCTTCCAACGAGATCTCATTGTGTACGTGCAGTTCATTGAATTTTTCTCATTTATCATAAAGTACTAATTCAGGCTGTAAATTCAATTTGACGACATTACAAAAAAAATATCAGTTGGTTATCTTTCAGTCTTAAACACATTGCAGTTTTAAAAACGTTCATAATGAAAACAACTCCTTCGGTGAATCTCATTATTCACTTGCAGCTCATTGAACTATAATCCCTTTGTTATGAAGCGGAACATGCAGTCTATAAACTCAATCCCGATGGTGTAAAATCTCTATCTCTGTAAACTCAGTTACAATTCAAGATGTTTGTTTGAAGTATTCATTAAGAAAACATAAAATGAAGCATCTCCGTAAAACAGTTATTCCCATGAAGGGTAACACGACCCAATATATCAGCCATGCTGTTTCCTTAAATTATCCTCCGTAATAGTAATCCTCCATATGGTGATTCCAGCTATATCTAATCCTCAACAAACAAATGTCTTAAAGCTGCTCTAAATGCTATGTAATCAAGCATTTGAAATTGTTCATACAACCAACAATTTTCTTAATCATATTGCTTGACTTTTATCCTCCTATTTGTCAATACGATGGCCAATGCATTGATTTAATAGCTATGTACGAATATATCAAGCAATATCCCTATTAGTATACGACAACTCTTCATCTGCTAATTTTATCAAGAAAGAATCTGCAGTGGCTGTTTTACTCTTCCATGATACTGAGAACATATTTCTATTAAAGAGTTGCTGATGTTTGATTAACTGCCTCTTTCCTAGAAATGCATAACATACATTATTTATATTGCTTTAATTCGCAATATATTGCTTATTTTCTCATCATTTTTATTGCTCTCGACTAATAAATATTATTCGATCTTTTCGCATTTCATAAATAGAATATTTCACATTCCTTTATCTACATTTACTATAGTGTTGTAGACTAGAGGGAGGGGGTAAAAAAATGTTTCTGAAAAGGCAATTAAAAATATTTTTCAAAAATATAATTTTCTCAAAATTGAGACTAAGGGGATGGGGGCAAAAAAATGTTTCCAAAAAGTCAATTGAAAATATAGACCTATTTAAAAAATCCAATTTTCTCAAAACTGAGGACTTTTTAAAAAAGTCCCAAAAGGCAAGTTTATGTTACGCGGTATATGGCATACATTCATGGTTGCGCGGTATTTGTGATACGGGTGAATATGCCATACTCACCTGCGGTATATGGCATATTCCGCAGGTGAGTATGCGATATTCCGCAGTGAATATGCGATACATTGATTTCAGTGAATACCCGATACTCACTAATATGAATCCTGGATTGATTGAGAAAGTTTATTACGCGAGATTGGTGACTGATACTTCTGCTAAGTTAATATATTCGATACAAAGTACTGTTGATTCAGTAATCATAATAATAATTTATAACGTTTTACTTCTCTGTTCAATCGATGCAATTGACAATTGCGTACTTCCGTATCGCGTTCTCATTGTTTAGTGTGTATGCCATATACTGCAGGTGAATCTGTCATACACCGCAAGTGAATATGCCATATTCGTTGCAGAATATGACATATTTTTGTATCGTGTTTACCGCATAACAGTTTAAGCCCTATGGGGAGGTCCTGATTTTCAACAGAGACATAATCACGAGACAAGTTTCTTTGGACAGCAAATGTTGATCTACGACCTTCAGGCATAGGGCACGGTGGCTCGATATCACTTAATGTGAACTACGATATGTGAACGCAAGATCTAAAAGAAATACATCATCGCCAGCTGCTCTTTCATCAGGTCGATTAATTGAAAACAATTCCTAGATAATTTAAAGATTGCAAATCTTGGTTGAGTTATAACAACGGCGACACCATGTAATAGTGAATCCTACTGGGCATAATATATCATCAACCACTTATTTTGAAAATTTCATAATAAAAACAAAATAAGCAGGCAGTATTAGTGTCTCATTTTGGAAAAAACACGCTCATGACAAATAACATAAATTGGTTTGCATATCTGAAGGATTGTCTAAAATTTCTTTTATGGGTATTCTGGGGACCATTTTGATGAGACACCATTTTGGATCATTTCTGTTTAATTGAATTAAACACTGCAGTGAAATGCATGAACTGATAAGAGCGTGATCAGAGCGTGACTTTGAATTAACTGCAACATTATTTCGACTGTGTCTCTTTCTGATTGACTGATTGTCTTGTTCATATAAGTAAAATGCTTTAAAATGTCTTTTATATTGAAAGAATCCTTAAGTGGAACCTTTGTCCTTAATGAAGAGATCTTGCTCAGTGAATGTAGTTGAGTAGTACCATGGTTTTCTACCTTTGTGCATCGTACATTAAAAGACATTTGCCTTAAAACTGTCTAAATTAGCCTTTTTCACAAAATTTTAACAAGGCATTGAAATGCAAATTGTCACCACTGTCCAAATTGTCACCACTGTCCAATTTAGAAATCTTCCAAAAATCACGATGAGAAATAATTTGACCTTATATAGAAAAATATTTGCTCCTCCTGGTTGAAGAGCTCAATAATCTCTGGTAATTTATTAATCATAGTAAACTAGGATAAACATTAAAGTCAGCGTAAGGGTTACATTTAATGAATTCTTTATGATGTCATTTATCAACTTAGTTAAGCCATAAGGTTCATGTTTGTCACTTACAAACTAATAATTCAAACGTAAAACAATTAAAGGTTCATTATATGTGTACTATTTTCAGGAGCAAGGTTAATATACACCTACAAACATAAATTAATTTCATCAAGAAAGTGAGAAATGAATCCATTGCTTATGTATTTGTAAATCAACCAGATAACTGAAATAAATTAAATTTTCTTAAAATCAATTAACGTTCAATTACTTTTTTGAGATAATATTTATTCAGTTTTCTAATTAAATCAAAATATTGATATCTTTTCTCAAATATAATTTTTCCTTTAGATCGTAAAATTCTTTATGGAGTGCCAAGCCTATGCCATAAGGTATGCCATGGCACCATGCCATATTTTGTATGTGCCATGAAGCTTGTCTCAGATTATAACTATTTATTTTAACTAACTGTTAACTTGTAACTGTCTGTAAGAAAATATTTATCATCCATCAGTAATCTCAAATGACTGATATGAGACCTGATGGGAAATTCAAGATTAATGAATGAGCTAAACTTACTCCCAGCAAAAAATCTATAGAATATTTTACACAGAAACCTTATATTATTACATTAATATCTATCAAAGTAAGTAACAAAAATACATTATATGACAAAATGTCACAATATATGTACTTGAATGAAAAAGTGTCATGATTGTCACAGATTACTACTTAGCAGTTATGTCCCTATCATTCTGTCACGATATAGCCCGAGCTTGCGAGGGCTATATTACAACAGACCGAAGGCATATATTCAATAATATGGACATAACTGTTGTATTACATACCTTTATTTCCATGGCTTGATTAAACTGATACTGATTTCATTTAAAATCTGTATAAATAAACAAAATAATGTACATATTTAATATCTTCATCTCAATTAGCATGTTAGCTTAACAAGATATCTTGCTTGCAAATTTTAAAATATGAGCATTAGATTAATTTATAATTTGAAATAAATAGTCTCTGTCTACTCAAGAATCTTGTTAATATAAAATTTTGATCTCTCAATGTCATCTCATGTTAGTAATATACAGTATATTGGAAACATGGATGTACAGGTAGTTACATTTATGTTGTTATGATACATTAAAACCTGTCTAATCCAACTGTGATTGGCAAAAATTGTTCAAGTAATGCCTTGGTCACATTTGCTCCGATCCATCGGCTGGCGCCTGCCCGATTGAGTGTTTTGTTCAATATTGTATTCAATTTTGAACAAAATACTCAATCGGCCGGGCGCCGCAGAGAAAATCGGAGCAAATGTGACCAAGGCATAAGGAGATGTTCAATAAGTGAATGGGAGATAGGAAATTTTGAGAAGAGGTTAGTCAGGCGCAGTTCCTTTACCTAGGCACTGATTACAAGACCCTGTTGTTGAAGTAGATAAGGGTGAGGGGGTCCAGGGTCTTGAAACTGACTATAAAAGTGTTCATATTGAGAGGTGTTCATTATTAAGGGTTTCATTGCATTATCAAATGAGGGATGACTGCATGACTTCAATGAAGGCCCTGAACATACCATTGGTCAAAGGGTATTTCAATTCATTCCATGAGATTTCTTGCAATTTGGGATCGCTGTTAGCATGCTAAATTAAAGCACCTGTTGAAATCCCCTGTAATTGCATTAAATGGAG